ACGTAAGAGTGTGCAGATGTGTAGTCACAGAGATATCTGTAATTCAGTCATGCAAAAGGCTGATAGCTTTTTAAAACTTTCCAAACTGGTTTAGATGTAGTCAATGCATATTCTGAGTTTCATGCTAAATAATGCTTCAGTTCCTGCTCTTTCTGTTCTCATTGTGTACTTCAAATACTTGTATATGATAGCCTGAAAATCACCAGGGTACTGCTACATCAAATCATGGGTTTACCACTCTGTTTCTTTTCTCTCATGATATAAATCACTAGGTAGTGTGCTGTCATCAACTCTAACAAGAGGAAGCTGTAAAATGTCTTTCCACAACAATTTCAAAGCTTCCAGCAGCAGTTTTTTGAAATTTGTACTTTATGTGCTGTTTGTCTCAGTCTAGAGAAGAACTAACTTCTGTGAAAATATTGAAAAATTAAGCTGAAATATTTATAAAATAAAATATAGCTTTATTTTAAAGTAGCATTGAAATAATTAAAACATGGAAGTCAATTTTCTTTCCTTGCCTTTCTGAACATGCACACAACGGTTCATTGCAATGCTGGGAAGCGGGCATAAAGGTCTTTGTAGTTGAAAGAAATAACTACACCAACATATCCAAGGTCCAGATGGTCTAAAAAATGGATATATTACTTTTACAGTTTTATTTTTTAAAAAATTGTAAAGAAGAGATTTAACCAATGCCAAGGATATGCTCTTCAGTACAATAAACTGCCACTAGATGGAGGTACCTCAACTGCAATAGTAAAAAGAATAAGCTGAAGTACAACAGTTCAAAAGTCATGCTGTAGAAAAACTATCGATGTTGGAAGAATTTTGAAGGAAACATTTTGTTTTGCCTAAGTTTGGTTATCAATTAGAAAACTCTAAATCACAGAAATAGCCACTTTTGTCTTTAATCTCATCTCATAAAACTTACTGTGTGAAATGGCTGTGGGTTTACACATGGCGTATGCTGCATCTTTGGAATTCTTCCTGAACCCCTGCAAAATGGAGAACACAACACAATTTTTTTCTAAATCCCATTTATATTTAGTCACCAGCTAAAAAAAAATCTGCTTTCCCAAGTACATGGACAGGGTCTCCAGTTTTAAGGGCTTTCACCTACAACCCAAGCTTTTATGTAGCTTTCAGGTACATTAGATTTTAGGAAGATGGTCACAGATTGACTTCCCTTGACCTTACTGGTTCTGAAGTAGAAGTTGTAATAACAATACTTACCTGATAAACATGACCGGTGTCTTTTTATGGTGCTTCCATCCTACAAACTTCGTGTAACATCCTGCAGGATTATTAGTTACCAATAATTTTGATCTCTGTCAATTTAAATTCATGGGTTCATCCTTGTTCCAGGTGGCATTATCCCATAGGTGATGATCCCTCAGTGCTTGACTGACAAAGATGCATGATATCATAAAGGAAAATGAAATAGGAAAGTCAGCCTTCAGAACCATTTTCACTTGGAGAGGTGAATTTTTAGATATTATCAAAGAATTTTCACATAAATAGATTCTTAGGAGAACATTGTTGATGAGGTGGCATTTAAAAAGAGAATTTTTTATTTGAAAGGATTTTCCTAAGAAAAAATCTGTTCCTTAGCATTTTGTGTTCTATAGTTGTGTTCTGGGAATACTGGATTAAAAATAATTAAAATGGGAATAATTAAAAATGGGAATATAGGATTAAAAATGGTGAATTTATTAACTAGATTAGGAAAGGCAGGAGGAGCGTGATAAAAATAAATCTGTAGGATGAAGAAAAGGGATTGAGGGCTGCCGTCAGTGGCTGTTGGAGTAGAATGAAATCACTGTGCTTGCACCAGTAGCCTGTGCTACTACACCTGGATGCTTTAAGTGGGAATGAAATGACCAGAAGGAATTGATGCAGTGGCCAAGCAGCTATGCAACTACCCACTTCTCTACATGCCTTTAAATGCCTTTGAAATTTTGGCTGTTTCACTGTGAGATTAATCACGCTAATAAATTTGATAGTGCATAAAGCAAACAAAAAGAGGAAAAGCTTTTCTTAACTTGAAAACTTACTGAAAGCTATTTTGGTTAATGATATGAAGGAGCTTTCTTAAGGGTAGGTTCCTTGTAAAGCCTTCCTAACGCTTTCATCTCCTCGGTTATGAGTGCTGCTGTAGAATTCAAGGAGTAATTACATCTAATACAGCTTTAGCTCCTTTCCGTGATACAAAGAGTTCAGAGATAAGCTAACCTCTTCCAGATGTTTTCTTCTATATAGCTGTGTAGGTTCAAACATGGATTATTTTTTTTGAAACAGGTTTTGAAACAGTGTTTACATTGCTTAGCTGGAAAGGCTTCCAGAGGACAGCTAATTACTCTGAATGTTGTCATTTCAGAGCAGGTCTGTATTTGCCTTTAAGTAGCGTATACATTGTTTTCCTGACAGAAATGGCTACATTTCCACTTGAAAGAATAGGCTGTTCCTGTCATGTTTTGTTCCACCAAAGCACATTGTGAAACACTAATAGACCCACTTTTACTATGTATTTGTCCTGTGTTCTCATCAGCCATGCCTGCCTTCAGACAGAGGAGGTTCTCTGGACCTGGGGCTGTTACCAGTTTTACATGCTTAAGTGCTTCAGACTGGGTACATTATTTTTCATATGTGGTAATGTACTGCACAGAAGAATAAAGTTTAAATTACAGTCCTGAGCTGTTGGGTGACATGAGTTCAAGAAAGGAGCAGCTGCAATTTAGTTAGATTAGCCCTCTCCTGCTGTAGAGCAGACTGTATTCCTTCAGGCAACATCTCATGCAGGAGAGTTACGGATGTCGAACTGTATACACAACCTTGAAGAGAGCTGTTGGTTTTGTGCATAGGTTCAGTGGGGCTTGATTTCTACATGGATCCAGCGCTGCAGAGTGAAGTGATTTCCTGCTGTGTGCCAGATGCAGCATTTTCATTGTACTTTGAACAGTAGTAGCCTTTTGAAATTTTATGTCTTTAAGGAGAAGGAGCAAAGCTACGGGGGAACCCAGGTCTTGCCAGTGCCTCAGATAGCTGACATTTGCTGTGGACCTTCAAACAGCCTTTACAAAGACATAATTTCTGTAAAGTAGTCACCAGACCGATGATATTCAGAGCACTTTTGTTTAAGTTTTAAGTACCACTGGGGTACCACTGGCACTGGGCTGTAGGAACTCCCAGCCTTTTTCTCTTGGCGAGGGCCATTTCCAGGCCTCAGTAGGCAAGGAGAAAGTAAAACAACTTCCTTCCGTTATATGCAATAGGAAAAGGGCTGAGACATCCCTTAAGCAGTAGTTCTCAGGTCATGAACTCCTCTTCCTTTGCAGTGGTGAGCTGCACTGAGACACCAGGGAAGTGGGGGACTTTGGTGTTTCAGATCCAATCCTTTAGTGCAGAAGTGGGCACAGGAATCTTGAAACGTTTCTGAGGCGTGATCGATAGCGTTGCCATTTTTCATAACTGATTTTGTTGCATATCCACAGCTGTAGGAATTTGTGACATAAAGAGAGGCACCTACATACAGAGTCATAATGACATCAAACTGCAGCAGGTTAGAAAGAAGCACAGAATTCCAGTGTATTTGCAAAAATGCTTTGAGTTTAATGATGTTGGCTGCTGATGGTTTTACTTTGACAAGCTTTGAATACACTGTAGTGCTTTTGAAGGTGAAAGACCGATGACATTCCTTCAAAGCGAAAGTCTCCTTGGAGAGTTTAAAAAGCACGTATGCAATGTATGAGGAGTTCTCACAAAAATAATTTGCATTTCAGAATATGACCCAAGCCATTTTCCTTGGTGATCTAAGAGGTGATTTGAATGGGCATGTTGAGAAATCTAAGCTTTAATTATGTAAGACAAGATAGCTGTAATAATCCTTATCCTTGTAGAATTCAATTTTGGGCAACCTGTCTTGAATTAGGCACAACAGATACCTAGAAAAGGGTCCAGAAATCCAGCTCGCTGAGTGTGGAGTTGCAAGGACTGAGGGAGAAACAGAATTGCAAATTTATGGAAAGAAGTTTGCCCTTAGGAGCAGACTTCACACTAATAGATCATCTTCCATCAAAGGATCTCAAGGGCTTTTACAAATTTTAATGCGCTGGGCTCTCTGACACCTTGTCAATTAAAACGGCATTTTTAACTTTATTTTACTAGCAGGATAAAGAAGTTATTTTATATAGTGTACTGGGTCTGGCTTCGTTAACCCTTAACATAGAGACACATGGAAAATCCACCGCTGCTCGAACAAGAATCTATGTATCTCTATTTTTGGTCTTCAGTATTTGATGAGACATCACAACTGGTGTATCATAAGAACATGTATGGAGGAAATAATTAGAAATCAAAGTAAACTCCTTCATAAGCTTCTCTCTGTCAGAGGAAACAGAGCTCTTCTAAACGTGAGCCTAGTTCCTTAGCACAGAGAATAACTGGCCAGAAGCAAAACACCAGAAAAGAAGAGTCTTTAACCACTGGCACAGCTGGGCTGCTGCTGGCTGGAAGATGTGGGACGTGAACTCCAGCGCGCGGTGCAGGCGTTGGCACCAGCCTCTGCAGGGGACGTTGTCAAGTACAAATAAAATGGCCCCGAAAACCTCCCTGGCAACCAAGTTGTGGGAGATTTTAAAAAATAGTGTAAAATGGATCTCAAGTCAGGGAGTTTTCTGCAAAAAGGGAACTGGAATAGCGGATGCGCATTGTGCCTGTAAATTCTGGGCTGTACGTCTGTTTTCCATTATTTTGAAATGTTGTCTTTGATGGGTGTATGTTCTGGTGGGCAGGCAGGGTTGCAGATGGAAACCTGGTTTTATAAAATGGGAAGAGTGTTCATGTTACTGATTTGGAGAAAGATTTGCTAGCCATTGTATGTTTGTCCCTCTGAGAGCCCTCTGCCTCTGCCCCTCCCTCACCAAACACAGCCACCCACCCATGCAGACGCGGTCTCTCCAGGTGAGACCCCAGCCCAGGCTCGGCTGACGGTGCCTGCTGCAGAAAGAGGTGGGGCTGCCACAGCCACAGCTCCCTCCCGCCTTTCCCACTGGCCCGAGTTCATGCTGCTGCCGCTGCTTTGCCAGTGGCAGAGTCGTCCCCGTGCAGTGTAATCCCGACATTCTCGGAGCATCCAGCAGCTGCCGGGCACTTGCAGCCCGTTTGGGAATTTCCTTCTTTTTCTCCAAGTGACTGACTGCTGTCGTTTCAAGGCTACTGTTTTTCATCTCATCACAGGAACGCTGTAAGTATAACTTCTACTGTGGCTTTTTGGTTATTGCCTTTGTGAAACTCATCTGTCTTGTACTGAATAGTAGGAGTTATTAGTTCAAAGTCTCTGTGAGGCTTGTTGTGTGGTCCCTGCTCCTGTTTGAGGTGTTCAAATGGACCCTTAGCATTTTAGTTTTTTGCTGGATTAGAACATGAAATCAAAACAACTCAAAATGTTGCTGGCTTCCTGGCTGCCTTTTTCCTACTTTGTAGCTAATTTGCTAGTGTGTCCTTCCTCTAAATGCTGGTGCCAGTGAAGTGGAAGTGAGAAGAGAAGCATTTCCATCCCTGCTGGTTTGCTGGAGCCAGTTTTCTAATGTGGTATAACCCCAGCCAGCAACTTAGCCCCAGCAGCCGCTTGCTCACTCCCCCCGGTGGGATGGGGGAAGAGAATCGGAGGACTAAGAGTGAGAAAACTCGTGGGTTGAGATAAAGACAGTTTCATAGGTAATGCAAAAGCCGCGCACGCAAGCAAAGCAAAACAAGGAATTCATTCACTCCTTCCCAGCGGCAGGCAGGTGTTCAGCCATCTCCAGGAGAGCAGGGCTCCATCATGTGCAATGGTTACTTGGGAAGACAAAACGCCATACCTCTGAACGTCCCCCCCCATTCCTTCTTCTTTCCCCAGCTTTTATTGTTGAGCACAACATCAAATGGTCTGGATATCCCTTTGGTCAGTTGGGGTGAGCTGTCCCAGCTGTGTCCCCTCCCAGCTTCTTGTGCACCCCCAGCCTACTCGCTGGTGGGGAGGTGGGAGAAGCAGAAAAGGCCTTGACTCTGTGTAAGCACTGCTCAGCAGTCTAGCATCCCTGAATTATCAACACCGTTTCCAGCACAAATCCCAAACATAGCCCCATACTAGCTACTATGAAGAAAATTAACTCTACAGCAGCCAAAACCAGCACATCTAACAACCCAAGGAAGAGAAACTTTAATGCATATTCATAAGCTCTCAGGATGCTGAGGCAGGTAATCTTGCTGCCTGCTGAAACGTAGCTAGCAAGGGAAGTTGTAGAAAGGATTCAGGTTGTGGGGTATCTGCCTGTCTCATTCCCTTGAGTCCTGAAGGTGAGGTAGAAAAATACATGAGTTTAGGGACCTCAGATGGCTGCAGCACTGTAACAGCACGTTCAAACTAAAAATCTTCCCAGAACACTGAGGCCACAGCAAAAGCGCCTATTTCAAACTATCCTGTTTCCTGACCCAGCTTGGTATGACTGTGAACTCCATGGTGTCACCTCAACTCTGTCTTTTCATAGACAGTTCACATGTATGTTGTATTACCTGTCCATTATCCTCTCTTTAAATGCATCATAGAATCATAGAATCATTTAGGTTGGAAAAGACCTTTAAGATCACTAGGAGTTGCAGAGAGGATGTCAGTGTGTTAATACTTTGAAGACATCATAGACTAACTTTTCATACTGCCAGTGCCCAAAGATATTCTGAGTGGAAGAGCACACTTGCCATTCTGGCCAAGTTCCCAGTAAAATTTGCACTGTTGCCCAAACCATTGCCTTGTATATGCACAAAACCTCACATCATTTTGTAATTGTATTTTACATTCTGAATTGGCAAGGGGATTGGAAACTGTGGGAATGAGCATGGCACCAACTATTTGACACAGAATTGATTTAGGACACCAAAATAAGGGGCACTATCTGCGAGTCTTGACTGTCATCTTTTTCTTCAGACTTCTTCCTGTGTTCACTGTTTTTTTATTGTTTGTTTGTTTTCCCCTTTATGTTCACTCTCCCCTTCCACTGCACTTTATCTTGATAGGAAGGACTGAGAAAAAAAATTATCAGGTGTTTTAGTAATGTTCTGTCTAAACCTGCTTCTAGCGTATGGAATATGCATCACAGGAAAAGTGCAGCTTTCCCAGAGGGAATCCATGTATAATAATGACTACATATTCTGTAGTATTTGAAGTCTTCAGTGTGCTATTACTCTCTCCATCTCCAGTTCTCCAGATAGTTTCTGTGTTTTGCATATATGCTAGAAATAACTCTGCCAAAGGTTTGCTTACTTTTCTAACATAAGCCAGAAAGGAATATGCCTTTTTCTGGTCTTGCAACAGCTACTGAATGAGTTTGTAACCTGCCTATGCTCATCCAATACAGTGTAATGGTCTGGCTTACTGTTACTTCATTACCATCTTTCTGAGTTAGACTGTTCCATGAAAGACTGGCTATTTATAACTCTGTTACTTGTTTGCAATCATTTAAAGCAGAATACCACTAGGATTCCTTCAGCATCTGCTGTTAATCTGATTTTACCGGCGATCTAAGCACAGGAGTTTTAGGGAAGAAGTCTTGAGCTGAAGGATCAGTTCTGACATAGGCTACGATCACTTCAAACTTTCTGCTTCAGGTTTTCATGTTCTAAACAGCATTAACAATTTCTAGCTGCAAACCTAGCTCCAGTGTTAGGGTTCATTGATTGGTATTTATTCCATGGTTTGATAAGAAATATTGTTCTGTAAGAATTAAGTATTATGCAGAACCACAAAGCTAAATCATCTCTTGAGTTTCCTTGAAAGTTATGTGAGAATGAAGTACATAATGGCAGAATCACTATGATTTTTATACACTTTCTTTCAGGTATCTTCTTGGAATATGGAATTTGTGTGGAAAAGAAGGTGGTATCTTCAGCTGGGCTGTATATTGATACTGAATTTGGTTTATGCCAAACTAGACTATGAAAAAGAAATTCCTCCAAGCCTGGGTCAGATTGACCATCAGTGCTGGGAGGTGTCATCCCATGGGCTGGTGGAAATGAAGAAACTCAAGGTAGCAGATACGGTCATTGCTCTCTGGGACTTCATGATGTTCCTAAAGGAATCCCCTAAGCCCAAGCACAATGAACTCTTCAATGATTTAGCCCAGAACTTCTGGGATATGTATGTAGACTGTGTGCTCTCAAGATCCCATGGAATGGGCAGAAGACAATTAATGTCTCCTAAATACTCTTCCACATACTCACATAGAACTTTAGAAGGTAACTACAGGATATGGTGTTAGTCTGTTATTTACTAACATTAAACTGAACCACTGTTCTATCCTCGCCCTTTTTTGTCTAGACAACTCAATATAGCCATTTCCAGTTTTCTGTCTCTACTTGTCAAAAGTATTTGCATCTTTCAACAGTAGCTACTTTCACAACATGCGAGTCAAAAGTAGTTAGGGTACTACATGTCTATATTTAACACAGTGCGAAAAATGTTGGGTAGGCATGTGGGAGTGTGTGGCAATGGATGCTGCACTCTCTGTGTACCACTGTGTGCATATAAATGACGTTACAATACTAAAAGTTTCCTGGTATTTGGAGTTCAGTCTCAACTTTGGGGAATCATCCCTCTGTGAGAAGGGAAGCTCAAATCCCTGACCGCCTGAACACTGTTCTTCTCATTAAAACTATTGGCACATAATGTGATCCGTGGTCACTGTGAATCATCAAACAGTGACAAATTCTGGTCATCGTGGTCTGGGGTGAGTCTGAACTGAGATCATACACGTGATTGGCTTTATACCTTATTAACCAATCCTCGATCTGTGTGCTTCCTTCCTCCTCAGCAATACGACTTTTTTCTGATGTACCCAGTCAGATGTTTTAGGTTTCCAGACTGAACTTGGAGGTCATTTAATCCTAGCATTCCTAACAATATTGCTTGGAAAATATTCACCTTTCTTTCATAATCTTGCAGGGTCTGCTTTCATCAACCCATTTTAGGCCAAAAGGGGAGAAAATGAAGATACCTCAGCAAGGCAACATCAAAATGAAGGAGCACAAAAGCACAGCATGTACTATAGATGCTTAGACAAATCCATCGGCATGGTTCAATCTTTTTTTTTTCTCTGTATAAAGTACTTAATCACTGCTAAACTGATAAGTACGTGAGCTCCCACATTGTCACTTTTGCTTTCCTGTCTTGCAATCTACCAAGGTTGCCTTTTTCCCACTGCATGTGTGAATGCTTTTGTGTTTTGAGTCAACACTTTTGTTCTCTCAGGTAAGCTTGTAAGTCTGAACCAGTGTTGTATTTTTGTAGAGGCTCATCTTTTCCAATAATCCTCTTTTTTAAAAGTTAATTTTGATGGAAACCCAATATATTTTTATACGTTAAGGAATGGAGAAAACATCAGCAAACACATTTGATAGTGTCTTGCATATACAATCAACTTTACTTTTAAGAATTGCAAAAAAGTGTGACATCAAACTAAAGGGAAGGATTATGCTCATTGTAATGTCCTGTGCAGTCTAAATTTTGTATTTTATCACTGCTTAGTCTAGGCTATGGATTAATTAAAGTATTTTTCTATGCAGCAAGGTCTGAATAGTAGTCCTTTTCTTGTCTATTAGCACGTTATTTGCAAAACCACTACTACATTACATTAAGAACAGTACTTTACACAAGACTGCTCTTTATTTACACATTCACACAGGTAAATAAGGCGATACAGTCCATCCCTGCCATAGCAGGCAACATCACAGTTGAGAAGAGACCCATGCATCAAGCAGTTTGAAAGAGTGAGAGACTGGCTTCACTACTGCTTTCACTGTAAGAAACGATCCAGCATGGGTAAGCTAATTCAGGGAGATTAACCGTCTAGTTCATCCATTTCTCCTGAGCACAGAAAGCCTGAGAACAAAATGGGAACACGCAGAGATGCTGAGTGTTCTCTGCTCCTTGGGCAGTGCAGCTTGTTCAGTCCCTGTTGTGTTCCAGCCTTTTATGAGATCCCAACTGGGTTTAATTATTGTAGGAAACAGTACTTACACAGTAACGTCATATAAACCTTCATAACTAACAAGAAATCCATCCCACATAATGCCTAGCTCATATATAGTTCATAAAATATCCAACAATTCTCACAGATTTGTAAATGTTTATTTAGGTAAATACAATGTTGAACTGCATCTTGTAAAATATTTCTCCCGCAGTATTCTGGAGAGGGTACAAAAGTAGTAGGAAATTTCTCTTACCCATGAATGTCACTGTAAGTTCCTGATACAAAAAATATTTTAAATACACCTTTTCTTCTGAGCAAATAGAGGGAGTCATGACACACCCAAACCCAGCAGTTTCAGGAATTGATACATCATAATGAGCAGCTATTTGAGAGCCATTGTCTAATCTGTTCCAGCAATATCCAGTTTAGAAAGCTGTGTTTTGTATTGCATTTGCAACAAATAAAGTGTTTTAACTGTCATAAGCCAGATAAATAAATTTCCCTTGTTCACACCTACAAATAACTTTATTCATCATCTACAGAAGTGTAAAACTATAATAACATTTTAAAGGTAATGTTTCCTATATTAGTGGTCTTTTATTTGAATGCCAGAGCAAGCTATCCTATGCAGTTTTAAAAGCTCCATCTTTCCTCAGACTGTAAGTCTTGAATTAGTTTTCTATAGGAGACAAAAGTGCTACTTTTTTAGGCAGCTACTTGCCTGCAACATCAGTGTCTGTAGCAGAAGCACAATGCAGTAGGGGGAGGAATGCTGTGGGGCTCACTTTGTGCCTAATGTAAAGTTTTTACATAAGCATAAATATAAACTGATTTCCAGTTAAAACATCTTTTATATCCATCCCTTGGCTACACGGTACTGCTGTAGCGTTTGCTCAGAAATTAGAAGGACTTACATGAATCCTGTATGTTTTTTTGGAAGAAATGGGCCAGTGCCTTGCTGGCAGTAGTAGTAAGTCACCCACATGTTCACATATATGCAAGCATATAAAAAACTCTAAATGTCACCATCTTTGTTCTCCTAGTCAAATATTTATTGTTTGGTTTTAACTGTGAAAAGACAATGGATCGTACTGTTTGTGGCGCCAGTGTGTAGGTAAGATTTTCACATTCTCTAAAACAGTAATAAAGCAGCATAGCTGCTGCAGAGCTGTCAGAGAAATATGGACATAAGTAAATGAGCAAGACTTTACTCAAGACAGAGAACTTCAGTGAATCTCTATATACCCTAGCTTACCTTTCTTGCAGGCAGGCAAGAAATACACATAAAAGCTTGTTTAATAAAACATATTTAAACTTCCTGCAGATAATTTTGGGAAAAAAAAGTCATAATGAAACCAGATTATACTTGAAAATTATCAGTTAGCAAAAGGCCAACATAAAAATTAAATTAAATTAGCATAGCTTGTTAGTTTCTCTAGCTTTAAGTACTAGAAGACTGTCTTACTCTACAATGTAATGTTTAACACACCTGCCCATAAGAAAATGCTTCTGATCTTTGGAAACTAAACATGTGGAGATTCCTCTAAAGTTTAAATACCATCTTGTATGGCTGTTTTATTTCATCATTTGCTTCAGGTTCTCCTTTTTATATAATTTAAGTAGACAATTTTTAAACAAAAATCTCTGCCTTCATTTTTAATGCCAGCACGGTTATGTCTTGTTACACGGACAGATTTTTAAGAAAGGCTTATACACACACATCTCCCCCTGTCCCTCTTTCAGGAAGTAAAAAGGGGAGTTGGAAACTACGTTCTGCTTGTTTAGCTCAAATTTATTTCCATTTTTCAAGTTGGCATTTAACAAAGTGAAAGCTTGTACTTTTCTCTAAACCTTGCTTACAGGCAAAAATGACAGACTACATGCCAGAGCTTGTATGTCACAGAACCTCTTGCAACGTCACAGCAATTTGTGCCATAGGACTGGATAGCAACTGGTTTTAAAATGAAGTAACAGCCTCAGCAAATCTTGCCTTATCGTAGTAGAGCAAACTCTGGCTTTGCCCAAGTTAGGAAAGGAGACAACAGCTTAGAAACTGAGTCATCTACAAAAAGGTCTGCTGCTCACAAGTTTGTGTTGGTATTCTAGAGGTGCTAGGGTGGAAGAGGATGAGTTCTTACTGGAGACAACATGGGCAATAACCCAAGAAATAATTCGAATAGCAAGATCAGTTCAAGAGCTGTGAGAAACTGATGAGGAGCACGACATTTCAGCATGTTTCTCAACAGCCTCAGAGAAACTATTGGCACAGACAAGCTTCTTAGTGAGTCTTTAGATGAAAACTGAGAAGTCTGAAGTCCTGATGCTAAAGATGGCAATTCAAGAAACAAAATGGACTTGGACAAAACCCACGTGGGTATGGTATCCAGGAAAATTAAGAACTAAATGTGTTTATTTGAAGGTTCATCACCCGGCTCAAAGGAAGAGATATGTAAACTGCAATGTGTGGAATGTGTCAACAAGAGATGGAAATCTAAATAGTGGACCTACTGATAGTGGATCAGGGTAACCTGACTCTAGCACACAAAATTATTAGACTCAACATATCTTTCTACCATAGTGTACGGGGTAGTTTATTAACAAATCATCCCCATGTTTATACTAGTTAAGACAAAATATAATTTTAGTCTCAAGATGTTCTATGCAATTCATCAAAGAGTTACAAACAGATTTTATCTTGTATTTAAAATACACATACAATTAACTAAAATATTAAAAGCACTGTTCAGAACACTATCTATTCTACAGGTACTGAATCTTTCTTGACTGAGTCCAACGTTTTAACTCTTTTGATCTTTTTTAAGGCTCCTTCACAAACAGAGGGCTTTCTAAGAGCGAGGTCTGTAACAGCCAGTGGCCCTCCAATTAATTGAGGTGTACTTTCGACAGTTACCAAGCGACCAGATCCAATCTGAAAAACAAAATAAATGCATTGCTTGACATTCATGTTAGCATGTAAAATGAGATGAGAGTTAAATCATGAGCTGTCTTTCAAAAATATTATTCAGCTGGTGGAGATGGATGCTGAGGTTTCTGAGGTCCACTCAAACTATCCTTTATACCAAATTCACAAACTGTTCCCATCAATACAAAGGAAAAGACAAAGTGGTTTTTCAGCAGGTACCTTGATGTATTCTGCTTTTCTGCCTTCATGTCTGATCTTATGAATAGAGGAAAAGAAAATCAAGCCTTTATTACAATAGCAGTTTGTTGTGCAATGTTATTTGGATTTCTATATAACATCAGCCCCAGTTTTTGTCTTCAGAATTTCACTATACCTTAATACTTCAAAGAAAAAAAAGGGAACAGACCCTGTTTCTCTCAGAATGCAATTGCTTATAACTACTGCTCCAGGAAAACTCCAAGACTGACAGAGACATACACTTTCCAGTCTCATTACTACTCTTTATACTGAATAGGTTCAGGTCTGAATAAAAATCCGAGTGACACCTCTATCTTCTAACCATGGCCTACTAAAACAAACAATGCAACTCTTTGAGTGGCTCACATGTTTGATTACTTGACTGTGACTGGTTTGCAACAACCATCATAGCTTAATTTTCATCTCTCCCTATTAAGGGTGGTTGGCAGAGAGGAGGGAAGAAGACTGTTCCATGAAAAAAACTGCCAGCCATATCTGTCATTTGTAATTCTTCTAAGCAGTGTACCCAAGGAATTTTATATGATGTTGCTGATGTGTTTGTTTTCTTAATCCACTTGTTCTGCAAAACAGACTAACCTTTTCCATGTTTTTGTCTACGGTTGTTGAAATATTGGCTATAGAACCATGAAGATATCTTCTTGTTAAATCCTCTCCCTCCAAAGAAATGAACAATCTTGGCTTGAGGTCCAAGTCTTTAAAGTAAAACCTAACAATGTATTTCTCTCTACTAACAATTTCCAGAATACTCATGTTTATATCTAAATTTTTCAGATATTCTGCAAAATATTGCTGATTAACAGACTCACTGATATATGCACGTAACGAAATAATTTTTCTAGCCCATCTTGCATTCACAGATGTATCTCTCCATATCTTTCAGAAGTTTAGGGCAAAGACAATTTGATAAAAATCCTAGTCCAGCACTCTGAGACCATCCCCCTGCTTCCTGTTAAGCTCCTCCTTTATTCTTCACATCAAACATGAACAGCCTCTTTTCTTTTTCAGGATGCAGCCACCTTAGTTAAAATTACTCATTTATGCCAGAGAGCCCATGATAATACAATCTCTTGCCTTTGTGCAAGTTTGGGAACAGCACCTCATGTTTTTTCTTCCTTGTTTCTCCTTACATGTAAGAGTAACTTATAAGCAACCAAGAAGCTATCCCTTCCCCTAAAATCCTCCTTAGCTGTGATGCTTACACAGAAATCATCCAGCGAGCTCAAAAGCAGTTACTGACTGGAATGGAGATTCTCCCATGTCTTACCCCATCTTGTCAAAACTCAACATCTAAATATGCTGTTATGCCCAAATAAGATCTTAACAATGGTTTTTATTTTCTCACACTTCAATTAACTGATAGAAATGAGGAAAAAAATAATCTTTTCTGTAGATGCAACGAGTGGCTTATCTGCAGTCAGGAACACGTTTACAGACAAAGGACACCTCTACTGATGTATTAGGGATTGCACAGATTTACCCAACAACAAATGAAGGAGGTCTTGACCTCAGCAAGGTTTTCATGAAAGGCTGTCCCACAAGAGGTACATGTCAAGTAGCATAGGGACCATCTTGCCCACAGTTTTTATGAGTAACTGGCAGATCTGAATCTCATTCTGACCAACTACCTGTTGTCTGAGGATATGTCAGAAGGGGAAGTGGTGCTTTGCAGGAGATACAGATTCTTTCTTACATACTTGGAGATCATCAACATAAACATTATTAAAGAAAGAGTAAGCAGCAGCACATATACAGCCAGAATAAACCCCAAACCACTTACTCATTAATGAACACAGTGTCACTGGGGATTACTTACTGTTGTACCGAGGCCTTTAATATCAGTAGAATGGACTGCTCCATTTTGAGTCTTCAATTTAGATCTGGAAGCCTCTATTGATTTTTCCTGAAGCCTTTTTGCTTTCTAAAGATAGTTAGAAAAAAGGCAAAATTGTTTTAATCACAGTGAATTGTATCATTTGCACTTGTCAGAAACTACACAAACAAAATGACAAAATAAATGAGGTGATAATTCTATTGGCCTTTAATTGTAAGTACCCTCCCTCTGGTTTGTGACTCTCCCTTGTACTGGGGACCTGAAAACAGAATAAACAGACATGGCTTCACAAGGGCGAGAAGGGAATAATCACTTGCTATGACCTGCGGGCTATATTGTTTCTAATATAGCCACATACGCTGTTAGCCTTCATCACCACAAGAGCACACAGCTGTCTCATTTTCAGCTTGTCACCCCATACATAGTACACATCTACATAGCCAGTCAGTCCCCAGGCTGTTCTGATGCATGGCAACCTTAATACATCCCAGATGCAGGACTTCACATTTTGTTTTCCTGAACTGCATGAGCATTTGGTCAGCCCATTCCTCCAGCTTGTCACGGTCTTTCTGAATAGCAACCCTACCTCCCAGCATATGGATTGCTTCCTCCAGCTCAGTATCATGCATGAACGTGATGAGGTTGCACACTGATCCAATATCCAAATAATTAATGAAAATGATAAACAGTATCAACCCTGTAATTAACTCTGAGGAATATCACTCAAAACTGACGGCTAGTTAAAGTTTAATCACTGACCACTGTCCTTCGAGCCCATCAGTCCAGCTAGTTTTTCATCCAACTTGTAGTCCAGCTGTAGTGGACAACACCTATATGCAGTCCAGTCTATATCTCCCCAATTTGGCTACAAGGATGCTACACAAGACTGTGCTGAGAACCTTGCTAAAGCCAAGGGAAATAACATCCATCTTCCTCCTTCTCCAGAGCTAATAATTTTATCACAAAAGGCAACCATGTTGGCAAGGCATGATTTGTCCTTGGTAAATCCACGACAACCATTTCCAATCACCTTCTTGTCCCTCATGTGCCTAAAACAGCTTTCCAGGGACTCAGTTAAAACTAACCAGCCTGAAGTTCTCTGAATCCTTTTTCTGGCCCTTTTTAATTTCTAATTCTTGCATATCCTTTGGGAAATGAAGAAAAATTAAATTAAGCTGCCAGAGCATTTCTTTTAAGTCTGATTTCATTCATTCTCTGACTTAGTCTGATCTCCTAACCAGGACTCTAACATTTTTTGTGTTCTTTTGGAAAAGCACGAATATTGCTGAAAGACACTCCTTTCATCATAAAATATTTCTCATCTTGAAAGATGTGTGATGTATTAAAAACAGGTAATGAAATATTAGAAAAAATAAAGAAAAGAATGTCCAGACTTTTAGTTTCAACAATTTCAGGACAACTATACATACACACACACACACACACACAACCCCCCCCTAATGGCAAGTGCATAGACAGTGTTGATCCCCAATTTGTGACCGTAATCAGAAAAGCAAATCATAGAATCATAGAAGAGCAGAAGAATCAATGATTTCACAGCTTTGCCAATACAACTTATGGTTCATTCTTGTATGTCTGTGTGAATATAACATTTACTGTAACTTCTACCTGAATATCCTCATAATTCATTAAGAAATTTGTTTGGAACTTCCCAATTATTACAACTACACTGTGAATGTAAATTTTGCTCCATCACTCAGATTTCTTACCTTCAATGCCTCATAGTTTGATGTCCGAGTCAAGAAATTTTCCCAACATTTATTTACCATTTCTCTCTGCTTATGGATAGCTTGGCTCTGTAATATAAGTAAGATTTACAAGATACAATACAATCCTATTCTTACAAGCTTTCCTGAACTCTTTGCTTGTGCTGTTTGGATAGTATGTTTACCTACGCCCCTTTGGCTACCTTAGCTCATCCCTCTCACTTGAGATTGGATGATGTTGTAGTAATGTACTTGTCCTTTAAAGACTTCAGTCATGCACTGCCTTTAAAGAAAAAAAAAAAGGCTTACCTTCTCTGTTGCAAAGAAATTTTCCCCTCTTCCAAAATAAATGTTGGAAGAGCCCCAGCTCTTTCAGGGATACTTTCTGTATATGCTCGCTCTCAAATACTGAATATCAGACATGGAATCAGTTCTGGTGACAAAAGTGCAGGCATCATAATGCATGACAATCCGTCAAAAACACTAGCATGAGATGTTAGAAAACTGGATGTCATGGTTTAACCCCAGTCGGCAACTAAGCACCACACAGCCGCTTGCTCACTGCTCCCCTCCCCAGTGGAATGGGGGAGAGAATCAGGAAAAAAAAAAGTAAAACCCATGGGTTGAGATAAAGACAGTTTAATAGGACAGCAGAGGAAGATAAAGTAATGATAATATTAATAATAATAATAATGATAAAAGAATATACAAAGCAAGTGATGCATGATGCAATTGCTCACCACCAGCTGACCAATGACCTGCCAGTCCCCAAGCAGCGATCGCTGCCCCCTGGCCAACTCCCTCCCAGTTTCTATACTAGCATGACGTCATATGGTATGGAATAGCCTTTTGGTCAGTTTGGGTCAGCTGTCCTGGCTGTGCCCCCTCACAGCTTCTTGTGCACCTGGCAGAGCATGGGAAGCTAAAAAGCCCTTGACTTAGTTTAAGCACTGCTTAGCAACAACTAAAACATCAGTGTGTTATCAACATTATTCTCATACTAAATCCAAAACACAGCACTATACTAGCTACTATGAAGAAAATTAACTCTATCCCAGCTGAAGCCAGGACACTCGACCAATTGATCTTACTTCTCAGAAAGCAGGAGAGGATGAGACAGTAGAAGAGCAAAAATGCCAAATGCTTGCCTTATAACTAAAGCTGGAAAATGTCTATACCTGCTCACTCTCAGCAGGCTGGGAAGCACAAAGCCCTGCTTTGTGAAGTAATAAAGCTTTGTGAATGTTCAGCCAAAGGAGCTTATAACAGAGGCTTACATTTCATTTTAAGAAGCAGATGTAGTTGTAATAGGTACTTTAAATTGTTTTCTGCTATAGATGAACACAGGTACAACTCATAGTAACATAATGATAATTTCTCATTACACCATTGCTGATGCATCACTGATGATACTGCTTCATTTTTTCATGTTACTCTCTAAATATCGGCAAAATTATACAAATTGGGAGAACTGAGGTTAACCTAATTTAATTTAAAGTTAAAATTTTACTGCTGAGACAGATTAAAATATCTTCAAATAAAAAAACATTCTTCAAGCAGTGCACACATACAGAATTCTCAACATTATATAATAAGAAAATCGTTATGTAAGTTGACAAAAAAGCTTTACATGGGTTTTACTTGTTTAAATACTCCTTGTCTTACCTTTGTATACGTTTTTTCCTCCTCTTGGATTTCTTGGTGGTGTTGACTTTCAAGCACTTCAGTCTGCAGAGCAGCAACCATTCTTCCAGTGTCTTCCGATATCTCTGAAATAACTTTCAAGGCTTCCTCATCTGATGCAACAGGCCTGAATTCTTCTTTTAGTTCTGCACACAGTTCACTCCAAACTTCTCCAACCTGTGTGTGAAACACACCACACTATTTGATATTTATCTCTTTTTTTTCAGTCCCAATTATTCAAAATATAATAGAGCAACAATCTCCCTATTGTTGTTTCAGTTCCTAGAATTTTTATGCAAGGTTAGATTTCAGTGATGCTATGCCAAATTAATTTATGATAATCCTCCCTAAGCCTTCCCAAGCCCAAGCTTGACTCCACAGAGCAGTAACAAGAATGCTGGTAACTACAGAAACCCAGAAGAGATACAGATAGCTACAAGATACTAAATTACAAGAGTGAAGAGTTGTGTTCTACTAGCTGCTTCTTAAAATTGCAAACTGCACACATTATCAGAGTAAACTGCAACACGAGTCATAAATGGAAGCTGGAATTATCAACTAAAGATCAAGTCTTGCTAGTTCCTGAACACTTCAAGCTTTCATAGACTTTGTTCCTGAGCAGAAAATTAGCATAAACTGAGGCATCTTTTGAGCATGATGGCTCCCACAAAGCTTGTTATCCTGTTCTTGTTTCTTACAGGCACATCATTCTTAACTTTTGACAGTATGGATGGATACTGCATGTGGGGACAAAGATGGGAAAACATGGAAAAACCTTTATCAGAATGTGTATTTAATGTCATTTTTAATAGCACCACCCCCCTGCCAACTGACCTTACTGCACAAAGAGGCAGTCCTACTCTCCAGCCCTTCCCCAATTTCTTACTCCTATCTTGGCACATTCCTGTTTCTTGAGCTGGCAAACAGTTAAAACTATTTTTTTCTGAAGTTACTTTTAACTAGCATTGGTTTCTAGTCTTCTATGCAGTCACAAACATTTGTAGCAGTACAAAAGAGTCTGGGGAGTGCTGCAATGATGGAGGTGGGATTGGTTCTTTTGATGGTGAATACTGGCTTACACTCTCTGTGAAACTACAGGTGACTTGTGACACAGATGACTGCTTTTGAAGGGTTGTTTGTTGTATTCTGAGATATATTTGCTATTTTTGCAAACAGAGATACAGTAGTAATATTTTGTTCCACAATACTCACTTTGAAGTCAATGTAACGCCGTATGATAGCAAGTGTGACAAAATCCTTAGCAGATAAGCCAGGTAAATTTTCAAAACCTAAAAGAACGTTAATCATGTCAGTATTAACAGCATGATGAATTTATCTTAAAATATAACGTTCTAAAAAAAGACACTATCTTATTTGTCATATAATCACATGCAAAATCTTCATCACACATACATCAGTCAGTCACTCTTCTAATCCTGAGCAGGCTTTTGGTGATAAAAACCCTGTTTTCTCCGTAATAAATTCACTCTGTACTAACTCTTTACTCATGAGTGGCTCCAGCGACCTTCTGATCTCTTGGAAAGCCTGGATAGTACTGCATTTGCTACACTTTTGTGGTAAGGGTTTGATCTTCTGTTAAAGTAGACAAATAGTTGAGTCCACGTCTCAGTTTCTAAAGAAGCAATTCAGCACAAACAGAGTTTGCTTTAGCTGTGAAGTAGCCATCAGGAGAACTGTACTACAGAGTGACCAGTACTTTGTTTCAAAGCTGTGTAATGAGGGTCTCCTCCATCTTATCGACTTGAGCCTTGAGCATAATGCCTTGAGCATCATGACTCCATCTTTTAAAAAATATATTTACAATATGTGTAAAAGAATAAGGTAGGGAAGTATGGTTGCTGAGACTATGCCTCATTTTTTGCACACTGAATGTTAATTATACTTGATTTTTTTAAAAAAACCTATCTCTATATAGTCTATCAAATCTCATTCTCGACTTCGTCATACCATCTGTGTGGTAACTGGGAATGTAGCATCTATCTATTAGAGTATAATTACATCATGTTTTGAAGTTAAGAAATACCATAAATAAAGACCAATTAACACTGGTTTTCTAGATCACCATGTTACAGGCTGTTATGGAGCATGACTACAGTAAGAGGAAGATGCTAAGACTATAAAAATATTTCCATTTTTTTATTATCCACTTTCATGTCATTTCAGTACTTCACAGGAGACATTACAATTTATATAACTAACGTAAGAGGTATGTGTGAATATAGGAGAAAGCTGGAACAAAATCTCATACCTTTTTGCTTTAATAAAGAATTTGGCTGTGATCCAACATTTAACATAATTAACACTAATAAAAATTAGTAAGAACCTGGGTTACAACAGAGGAAGAACTAGCTATAATTTATTAGAGAAACTAAGGATGTTTTCAAACCAGTTGGTTCTCTAGGTCACCCAGGGAATTGGTTGAGACAATCACAGAACAATTACTGATCATCTTTGAACCTGTAGAGAATGGAAGTGAAAAAACAGACCTAATGCCTATTTTTAAGAGAGGAAAAGGACAAGCCAGAGGATATCAGTTTGGTTCAGTTCCTGAAAAAAGACTGAAACAAATAATTTAAAAAAGTGTTTATGCAGCTAAATGATAATAGTGAAAACATTTATATCCAGCATGAATTAGTAAAAACTAGGATCTAGCTTTAGTCTACAGCCAGATAAAAAAATCTTATGGATGTGGAAGAGTTTATCATGTATCTTGACTTCAGTTTAGGTTTTTTAGATACAGATGTAATGAGTATTATTCACATTCAGTGTGCAAACAACATAGAATTAGGAGAGACTGCAGAATTTCAAAGGAAAAGATTAATTAACCTTACCAATCTGAAAAATTATCTAAAACCACAGAGTTTAATTCAGTAAGGACAAATAAAAAATTCTAAATGTAGGAACAGTCATCTGTACAAATCCAGGATGGTAGATGACTGTACAAAGAGTATCATGCCACTATGAATACAGCAATTGTTATATTAATGTCAGAATGTTTATTTACAAAATGAGTAGTGTAATGTAGCTCTATTTGGCTGTGAGGCTTCTGCTGGAGTACTGTGTTCAGTTTTGGGACACTACAGATCAAAAAGAATGTGAACCAATTGGAAAGACTCAAGAAAAAAACAATGAGAATCATTAGAGGTTATGCTAGAAAATGAGATTGGCAAGTAATGTCTGCAGAAAGTAGTATTTCTTGATCTAGGGAAATAAAATTCAATGTAAAAGTGTTAAAACATGTGAAAGAGATATTGTGTGTGGGAAAACAAATTTCAGAAAATTTCAAGCAAATCTTAGGTTTAAATCTAGGAAAACTCTTCCTAATGGTAAGGGCAGAAAAGTACTAGGGAAGTCTTGAAATCCCCATCAATAGGGACTTTTAAGAACAGGAGTAGCAAGCATCTATTAACAACAGAGTGTTGATGATCCATCTCAAACTTCCCTTTGACCTTTTTTTTTTATAGTGGCTTTAAAGATTGCCAGTGAACAGGTTCAGTTTAATGACAAATATGACACTGACAAGGCAATTCACTTGTCTTACCTAGCTTGCACAATAATGAATAAAGTTTTGCCCGTATGTTTTCTGAAATTTCCATGATGGCAAAGCTGGGACAGTTGGCAGGCATGGGGATGACCTCTTGCTGCTTCTGGAAGCTGCTAGCAATAGGTCTCTTCATGTCTAATAATTTCAAAACACAAAACCAGAGTAGAAGAATGAAGAAGTAGTATGTTCCCAAAGCTATTAAACTTAGAGGAAATTCTACCTGTATAATGAAGTACGAGGATCTTTAGCAGGCAGCTATGGACATATTCTTTTCTGTGATGCCTCCTCCAGCAGAAGACAATTCCATCTTACTTTGTGGACACCATGTAAATAATTTTGATAGTTTGGCCAGGAATTTGAACATAATGTGGGCCAGGAAATATTAATCAGCATGACTAAAGATTTGTTAGAACATAGCACTCTCCTTACTTCTTTTTACAACATGTAACAAAACATGATGCCTTCTGTGGAAGAAACTAAGTAGTTTAACTGTCCAGCATTAGAAAAGCTGTTCAGACTACCAGTCACGGTTCTGTTCATTACCTGGTTCATTCCCAGCTGATGCAGAAAAAGCCATCTAGTGGTCAGACTCCAAAGGAAATAGACGGAAGGTATTTTAGGTTTGGTAAGAACTAGAGCATAAAGCTATGAGTATTGTAATTTACTTTCATCAGGATTCAGATTGCAAAAGCAAATACTGTCTTTGTTTTACTTTATTCAGTGGAACTGCTCACAGTTTCACATGCATCATAAAACTTACCAACAATCCTTCCATATTGATCACGTTTGACTCCTAGGTCCAATTCTTCCTGTCTCCATAACTGTATTAGAAGGTTAGCTGCTGTTTGATCTTTCTCCCCTCGCCAGGTACTGATGTGCGAAGTGGTTTTAGGGTTGTCACAAAATTCAACCAAGATTCCAAGAATTATATTGCACAGGTTCTTTCGCTTTAACTTGGTGAAGGGAAAAGGAAAACATGTTTTAAACCGTTCAAAACACAGTGATGTCTACCTTAAAAAATAGAGAAATTGTGTAATACGTAATCAAGTAACTACAAGCTTTTCATCACAACTATTTGCACAAAACTTATGTATAAACTTGTAAATCTTTCAAGTTTCTAGAATCCTGCCATGCAAAGTTCCATAAATCAAGGAACATGAGGGGAATGAGTGTAGGATCATACAAGATGTGCATACCTGCGTGTAAAATTACATAATAGGTTTTGTATACATGCCTCCAGGCTCACATGCTGGAGAATGTACTACTACCAAGATTTATTTTTGTAACAAACAGGCTCTGAAGGCAGTGCCTGAGTGGTACCACACAGCACCTGTTTATTTTGTGGCCAGATCTTTTAGCAGCAACTCAGAGCAGGGAACGGTCTGCAGCCTTGCACTGCAAGGCCATCAGAGGCTGTCAGTACAACCACTGACAATGAGGAGGGAATGAAACAAGGAAGGTCCATGCTTATTTTGTGAGAGGTGAAATGCCTGTGCCAGCTCTATGTCTAAGACCCATACAAGTAGCTATACATACAAAATACATGTACAAAGTAGCTTTAAACATCAAAACTTTTAAAGCCTTCTCTTACTAACTTCAATGTGAAGAAAGAACTGAAGTGCTTTTCTAAACAGACATGTCATCCAAAATAAGAGCACAGTTTGAGTTTTCTTTTTAAAATGAGTACATTTTTGGTAAATTTGAAACTCCCTCTGCCAAATTTTTTAAAAATTTTAAAAAAAAATTTTAAAAAAGATACATGGAAAATCCGTCCAATCATTTCTGGGCGGATATCCTGGTGTGTGATTACCTTCCTATCTCAGGGAATTACATACACTGATCTTTTTGTTAGTATTGTAATAGTCTTAGGATATACTGTAACAAAAACAATGCAATTTTCCATGTTGTTTTACTACTCTCTCATTCTGTAACAACAATAATAAAAATACCTACTGCCAACAAATCCAGGAGGAAAAAAATGCCCTGTTTTTCAAGAAAATAATCCTCTGCAATGTAACATCCAATGACACAGGACCTTAAACAGAAATAATTTCACTGTGTAGAAACATTTTCATGCTTTGGAACATTCTACAAGCATATTATTTATTTTACTGAATTGCATAAATATATTTGGTATGCAATATGCTTCATACCTTCAGGAAGCAGAAAAACCATTTTTCAAATGCCTTTTCATTTACACTGTGTAACTAAATATACCCCACTGCTCTTTCTTCTCTTGCAGGTGGCACACCTTCCTTGTAGCAGCCCAAGAAATTTGGCAGGTTCACAGTGAATTGGATTAGGGTATGGATTTGAACTAAAACTAACTCAGTAAAAGAAGCTAAAATTTAGCTAGATCATGTCCCTGATCTGGCTTATTGCAGGTCTGTGTGAATATTTCTGCCAGCAGAATCAAGGGGGTGAGACAAGCAAGACTGTTTTTTTGGCAACAGTGTTTGCTTTTCTCAGCTTAAAATTATCATAAAACCAGCATTCATGTTGCTATTGCTTCCTTCTCTTATTTCCTCACTTACGGTCATTAACACAGAAACTGAATGCATCTCCTGCATCAGTCTTTTTTCTCAGACAAACGTATCATTTGGCTCTTAATTTATTTATCAACCTCTGCCTTAAAACAAATTAACTTTTGCTTATCCTCCTATGTATTGGCATTCTCTGATAGCAGTGTTTAAAATATTTCTAGCCCAATATAGCCAGTTTACAAACACTTCTTATGCTTACACAGTTTTTAGCTAATACTGGTCTATTCTTGCCTTCTGTTTACTTCTCTGAAGTTGTTTACAGACTCTAACCATACACCTCTCTTAGACACTTGTCCTGGTTTCGGCTGGG